TAGAACCTTCAAATACAAATATTGTATAATTTTTAACGCAAGATTTATGAAGGCATAATTCTTAAGATAAATTATTTTTAATTAATCAATTACAAAATTAGGTATCTATTCAATAGTCTTGTTCATTCATTTTTCATTCACCTATAGACTATAGTCCTAAAGCAAGGATGACAAACCTTTTGATAACTGAGTCACTGAGTGTCAAATCAAAATGTTTGGTTTGATTTAATTTGCCTCAAGTGTCAGAAGCTTTTCAGGCCTTAATTTGCTTAAAAAATAATTCAATTAAACATAGAAACATGATTTTATTTGTTGTTAAGTATATAATGTATTTAAACTTAACAGCATTTACTATTTACTATTACATATTAATATACCTAATTACATAATTTTTTAATTACAAAAATTAGTTTTTAATGAGAAATCTGTTGCTGCATTTTCCAGCTAAGATTATGATTTAGAGATTTTAATTGAATACATGCTGCACTAATATCTGTGATTTTTTACAATATATTACAATAATAAGTTCAAGTTAATTTTAAATTATCAGTAATWTTTTTGGAAGTGAAGCAAAAATTATAAATTATATTTTAATTGACGTGTCAGTGATATAATGTGCGAGTGTCACAGAATGAAACGTGTGACATAGGTTCGCCATCTCTGTCCTAGAGTATTTAGTATTTAGTAGAATAATAAGGATAAGTTATAAAAAATTATGTTAGCACTAGCTATCAATAATATTATATACACCAAATTATACTAGTTACTACTTRGGTATTGTAATATGTAATACATAATTACATTTTTATAATACTCAAGCCAACAAACATATGTTGTCTGGGTGTAWATCAAAAACGTAAGGCAAAATATATACTTGTATCATTGCTTATGTTAGACATAATACTATCGCATATAACAGAAAATTTATTAGGTTAATAAAACAAAAGAAGCTAATATAAAATCACATCAGCATTATTTTATGTATAAACAATATTTAATCATAATAAATTAGGTATAAATAAAAACATTTAAATTCAGTAACTTTTGGTTAAAGTTCTACTTTATTATTTTTTCTTGGACACAATTGCATAACATCAGTACAAATGGAGTGAACAATATGATCATCATCTTCAGACTTAATCATATTTATGAGATCTTCTTCAATATCATCAACAATGTCTTCACAGTGGTACTGTAAACTTTTATTCAGATCAGAGTCTTGAACCACTTCTACCTCACTCATCAATGGGTTCATTTTTCCATCTATTAGCAATGGCATAACTGTCAGCGTACCATTCTTCTTAAATGTAGCACGAACATAATCATTCATCTTTTCACACACAGAATCCATAACTTCTGTTAAGTATAATTGTGACCGAGCTAATGGAACAGTCTGTTTTATTTGGTCACCATTTCCATCCAATCGGAAATTAGAAACTTGCACGATATTTGTTGGATCCACAGAACTAACATTACGTTGTATTTCTTCAACAAGACGACAACACACTTCACATTTTAAATTTGAAGAGTCAAATGCTATACATGGCATTAATAACGCAAAAACCATACATAAATATTTAGGGAAAAACATTATGAAAAAAATTGTGTTTCTAAATTCAAGCACTCTGTGTCAATCAATAATTGTTTTGTCCTGTGTTTTGGCACTAGGCAGCTAATTTAAAAACAAAAAAAAAAACAAAACTATAGCCAGATTACTTGTCAATGTGAAYTGTGAATAATAATTAATACTAAAAACTAAATCACTCAACAGTCAACACATAAATTTTAATACACATCGCATAAAAGTTGCAATTAGAATTCGTTAGTGAACCCTGCACTGACATAGAAAAGTTATATTGACTCACTAAACTCAGTAAACTCTATGTCTCTATCACTCAAAACAACTGAAAAATACTAAATACAGTAAATACTAAATATTAAATAGTAATAGTAATATACTATATTATACTATATAGTACAAAATTACAGATAACATATTTTTTTGCTTTAAGTTCGAACCTGTTTGAGTGGTTGAAGTATGGGGGGGGGAAATAGATTGCTTATATCGACGAATATAATCTGTGATGGAGATATGTGATATGCCACAGAATGTTTTGCGTTAAAAAATACAATTAATTAAATGTTAAATAAAATATAAATTTAYAAAACGAGAAAATTATTGTAAAGTTGTAAAGAATATTTTGATTTTGATTTCATAATAGGTAGTAGAATACCGGAATACTTATAAAATAAAATAGATTCAGACTGAATATTCGAATACTTTAAAATAGGTAGGTAGGTATACATTTTATTTACCTCTCACTTTTGTCAATTTGGGATAGGTGGTTGGAGATTCATGTTTATAATAAATTGATGATGTAATGGCATGTATTTTATTCTGTGGTAATGGGCGCACCTGTAGTGATGGGGAGGAAAGACGTCCCCCCCTAGAATCATGTAAATGGCTTATTACTATTTTTCTCCGATCACTTAAGATGAAAAGCATTATCTTATTTTATACTACTATTTAATTTATTTGTATTYACTATATTTCTAGTACTACTTTACCAGTCATGTAAAAAAAAAAAAATATGGAAATCACGAACTCAGGTATTTATATATTTATTTCTCAGTTCGTGATACAAATCAGTAACTACTAATAACCATATTTAAATCAGGTATAGAGCTTGCCTTAACAACAAGTACCTAATTCCAACCAAATATTATGGCCAATTGTAAACATAATAAATACATTTTATTAGAACCACAAAACAAAATGTATATATAACCAAATAGGTTTCATAATTTTAAACAACTATCTACTTATTTAAAATCAAAACAATTGTACGCTTTAAATTTTATTTATAACATCGTAAATTATTCCATTATATTATTGTTAATACATTTGGGTAGATACCTGCCTATATTCATCATTATGATTATCAGTTGTGTAGTTACATGGGGGGAAACAAGCACCCAAAAAAAACTTTTTATATTGGTATTTTATCTCCTGTGATACTGATTATTTTTAAAGTAATCTTTTTTTTACATTTTTCGATGATAGAATTAATACCAATTTGAAACAAAATAAAAATGACGGTTAGTTTAACTAATAACTTGTAATTTGTGTCATAAATATATTTTATAAAATAATAATAAAGAATATGTTCTTTTGATGTGGGTAATCCCACCTAGGTGTTTTTCGAGATAAATCCCAAAGTATTTAACTGAATTAAAAATGGGAATTACCTATTTTATAATTCAATTATATAATATTGGAGGACTGACTTTAGGGTATACGAGATGTAAAGGTGATGATTTATTTTTATTCTCCATTGATTGAATCAGATTTGTAATTAATTTAGGTAGGTTTGAAGGTTATAAATGGACAACGCAACATTGATGTGCATGTCAAAAGAACTTTTGGAATTATGCAATTTATATCTGCAGTAGTGTATGACTAATTTGCTAGAATGCTGCGGAAATTCTACCTTACACCTGCTTTCATATAGAATATTAGTCTGAATATAAATAAAAGGATAATTCCATCCAACGACCACACATATCACTTTAATAATACATAACTACGAAAGAGTTAAAAGTTAAATATAAGGAGTGGAAAACAATCTAATTTTGTAGAAATGTATCATAGGTACTTATTATGTGCCAAACACGATTTAACGCCTGAATTACATTTGTAAAGACTATAAAGAGTGACAAAAGTGTTAATATATAGTTATGTATGTGATGTTTTGTGTGTAATCCTGCTCTAACAYAGTCAAAATATTTTGGTAAGTTATAAAGTTATATCAAGGATATTAAAGTCATTAGATGAATAGAAATCTGTGGTTTAACAATAATCTCCTTGAATTAAATTTCACTATCAAAAAAAAGTATAAAAATGTATTAAGCCATATACCTACTAGCTGTATAGCCTGTATAGGTATTCTAATCATATTATTTTAGATTCTGAAGCGATGAATATGTAGTGGTTTTACAATAATTTTTTTTTCACAAAATGTTTATGAGATCATTTTCCATTTTAAACATGATACAATTGTCTTAGAAATTTTCGTTTTTTTTATTTGTTGTTTATTATTACAATAGAATAATTGTTCACTTAGTTAAAAAACTTAAAAATTGAGTACTATAGGTTCCTCATGAATCATTATTAGTTATCATGTGTGTTAATTAAATAAAAAGTATCATCGATATTTTTTTTCATGGTTGTCTAAAGGTAAAATTTTACAAAATATATATACACTATTTTGAGTTAAAAATTCTAAAAATATTCTTCGTTAATTGATAAATTTTGAAAATTAAATACAAATTTCCTAATACGTTTTTCTACTTACATTTATCAAGAGAAAAACTTTGCTGGAAAGTCGCGTTAATTTTTATTAGCGTTCGAAATTCAAATTTTGATAAAATTCAACAAAATCATAAAAATTTATAAATTAARTTGAAAGTAAAAATGTATAAATTGTTCAATTTTTATAACAAAGGATTGAAATTTTTATACAAATATATCTGCATTAGCAGGTGCCAGATAGCATAAAATTTTTATAATATTAATTATAATAGGTATTATATAGATTTTAAATTTAAAAAAATACTGTTATCCTGAATTTTTAACCATTTAGGTATAATTATATTTATTTATACTTCTCAATTATTTATAATAAGACAAATTGATATTGAGCAACAKCCAACAATAATAACAATCAATTATAGACTGGGGCATTATTTCATTGTGAAATCGTATTTGATGGGATGATTTTACGTCAACAAAAAATCGATAAAATATTCTTGTTTCCATAATTTCTACAGGGATGAATTTT